TAGCTCCACTGTGCCTTAAGGGGAACTGTCAGAGTGTAGGCTGAAAAGGTCAGCTGGGCTCAAATTACCTATAAAAATGATGAGCATTGAGCTTGGCAGGCACATAATGGTTAAAAGGATCCCAAGATATGCAAATCTTCAGAATAAGGACAACCCCAAATATCTAACCTTCCAAAAGCTTTTAGCTGACATAAAATGGGCCTTCAAATCAACTAGTAAGTTTCATAGGGCCCATAGGTGATGTTGATAAGATCAGAGCCATTTGGCTATCGAGTTACACTGAAAAGATGGTCGCACGCCATCAAGTGGAAATTTTTGTTTCAAGATTTGTGCCCAACCCTAATTAAAGTTAAAATGGATAGCCGTCATTATAAAACCTGAGGATCCTTGACCCTGAACCAGGTGGATGCAAATTGTTAGAGTCTGGTGTCCGGAGTTCAGTGAGGAAAAACAGCACTCTTCAAAACTGTTACTAGTGTGCGTTGTTTGGCTCTCAGGGTGGGGAGAAAAAAAAAAAATCAAGCTAACATTTAAAAATCAGATTTCAAATAAAAATATGGAATTCTTAGCCTCTCAGAAAAGATTAGAAGATCCAGTAACAATGGTCCCTCTGGCAGCAGTTGGCTGGAACGGAGTTATCAGTGGGCTCCCCTAGCCAGCTTCATTTATCACCACGTCCATAAAACAGAGCTTCTCACATTCATTCTGTGTGGCAATCTCCTGGGGATCTTGTTAAAAATGCAGGTTCTGTTTCTGTAGGTGGGAGTGTGGCCTGAAACTTAGCATTTCTGAAAAGCGCTCAGTGGTGTAAATGCTCCAGCCACACTTTGAAGGCAAAGCTATGAACTTAACAATAAATAAAAACAGAAGTAAAAAAAAGCAAACAATATCTTTATTTAATAATCTTTGATATTTAAAATACAACTCATCAAACATCCACATTAACAAGAGTATCCTCAGTGTTCAACAGTCCTTTGGAAGCCCGGCTTTTCTAAGGACCAGACAGGAAGGACTGTGTGTGTATTCACGGCAAAACGACTCAGAGAGAAGAGCACGCACGAAGGCTGCAAAGCTGGGTCCTGAGCAAACGGCACTGCCACAGTGCACCTGTGTCGTGGCCAGAAGGATGTTTTTAATTCTTTACTGGAATTTCAAAGGTTACTTACACAGAACAGTAATTTTTAAAAATGCATTCCTACTCATCCAGTGTTGTAGAAATTAGATAATCACATTCAAATGTATGTTTTCCTCTTTAAAAAATTCCTGAAAATATTCACTTTTGAACTAAGAGACAAGTGAAGTGCTTCCTAAACGAATCAGGAATTTCCAAATATGTTTCACAAATGCTTTCTACTCCCTGTCTTATGAATCCATAGTCTTAAAACATTTATTGACACACTACGATAATTAAACATGCCAATTGCAATAATTTAGATGTGGTTAGTAGCATTAATTTTTTAAAATGCCAGACCATTTTGCAAAAAAAAATTAAAATAGCAGACGTTTTCTTGAACAAAAATCAAAATTCAAGAATTAAACAACCATGTCAATAATATTTTCATTCATGAAAGCAAAATGAAACAAAAATATTTTGTGTATTTAAAAAACAATACAAGTTCATTCATTTCTTTAAAAAAAAGATGCTGGTTACAAAGGGACCAGAAATGAAGCAGTTTTTATTTTGAAAATATGAAAAATTACTTATACTGCCGAAATAATTAATCCAGTCTGATTTTTCTTAATTAAGATCACATCTGTAATATCTCCATACTTGTCAGGGCCCAGCTGCAACAATTAATTTTGAAAGTAGTGGCCATAGGTGGCTCCAATTGCAGATAAAGTTTCTAATAGGAAGTCATCAATATTAATGATTGAATCCTCTTAAGAATTTAAAACATTAAGATTTATTTTTCAATCTAGGCAATTTCAATTATTATCATTACATTTTTGCTTGTGCACTGAGAATCAATCTTTTTTGCATTTGCACACCTCCAAATGGGCCAATTTTAAGACATTTAGTAAATCTTGGCACTAGTGTGATACTATTTAAAAACAGTATCAAACATGCAGACATTGAAAATGTCTTAGGCTCTTAATGGCATAAAATCTACTTTATTTGACTTTAACATTAAATGAAACAATGTAGAGTATGGGTAGTTTTGCTCCTCAACTAATTTGGAGTTTTTCTTCATTAACTATGGCATGAATAAAGCCTTAATTAAGAAAAATTAAGTTTTAAAGAAAGAAAGCATCTTAAATATTCTGTGAATTGCAAATTATTTGGCCAAGATCTTAGAGGTGAAACAGTTTACCTGCAGCAACCTTTTCAAACTACTTGCATTACTGAAATATTCATATGTTAATTACTGTAAAAATGTTTAATGATGGTTTAGATTAGATGTTAACTACTCTGAATTTTTGAAACAAATATAACTACTTATTAAATCCATGACATCTATCAGTGTGAAAGTGTTATTTCCAAAGCTTGTTTAAACTTCACTTATAACACTAGCATTGCCATGGTACGTATTTTATCCCAGTAATACAAATTATACATTAGAAAAATGATACCAATAGTTTAAATATTAAACATTAAGGTGTTCCCAATTGGTAAAACAGAATGGAAATCTTTCTATAAATAAAGTTCTTAGCAGGACAGTTGTGGTGAATTTCATTGTTTCTGACTTGCAGGTGGTTTAAAGTAAACCGTACTACCTAATGTGTAAACTATAGCTTTGTGTAACTTAAAAATTTTCTTACTGTGGTTATGAGCATTGGCATCTTAACATATTGGCCAATCAATTAAGAAATGGAATCTAAATGTTCAATAATATTTATGCCAATCCACACAAGATGGCAGTTTACTAGTGATTCTGAATCTGTCTGCCAAATGTAACATTTCACAACTAAATAAACACATTCAAATATATCCAGTGTGTGCTCAGCCCTGCTTTAAAAAAAACCCTAACAAAAGAAGGTCAACATTCTGTATTCCTTTAAGTGCTTTAGCAAGGGTGTGTAATATAAGAACTTTATAAATTCTCAAGGTTAAAACTTTTCAATGTATATTCGCTTTCTCATTTTTGTATCAGGTAGTTCATCAATTCAAATGTAAGAAAAGTTTAACGTATTTTTTTTTTCAATGAGAAAAGATACAGATCAAATATCCATGGAAAATATGACTAGCATACTTGGGTTAACTACAGAAATGTCCAGTCTTAAAATATTTTGGTTTGTAAATCTTAGGGAGTAGTACCAAACTCCAACATCCCTTGCATTTTTAAAAGTTTATAGTTCTTCTGAAACATTTTCAACTGAAAAAAGAAAACTTTAGATTTCAAAATAAAACTGTCTAATTTTATATAAGGGGAACTTCATAAAACTTGGCACAAAATAATGACTTAAAAAAAGTCTGTCTCTATCCAAGTAAAAGCTATTTCATAATCATAAATAAAAGGTATTTTCTCATCTCTTTTCAGTTAGCAATAAATCCTACATCAAAAAATTCCCTGATAAAATGTGTGTAGCCATACACAGGGTATGGCAATATATCATACTTTAATTTTCTAAGTTGTCAGCTGAAATTTCTTCTTAAATTTTAGCTAATGAACAATTCAACATTCAAAAGGGCTTCAAAGGAGGATGGAATGAGGGACGGGGAGAATCTAAAAGGCCCATTTCAGAGAGACATGGTTAACTTTCACCAAAATCATCCCACTGCAATGACCCAGCGAGAAACTCTGAATCCCAATTAAAGAATGTTTATCAAAACTAAAGACTTTCTTATTTACAAATCTATTAAGAACTGTGACTTCTGTAATTCGAAGCTATTTAAACATGATGCAAGTGTCAAGTCACAGTACAAATTTCAATGCAGTTTTGTTGGTAAATTATTTTCATGTTCTAGATGGTTATCTCTGGCAAGCTATACCTACTAAAAGACGTACAGCAGAAGCAGACATCCACACTTCATAACTCAACTGTAAACAGGACAGCTCCAGTCACAAGAGGAAAAATAAAATGAAACTGCTACTAAAATTGAAGGCCAAATTTCATCTATCATACATTCACGGTGGGCACTGTATGGTGTTTTGTAACAGAAGGAAACTTGCGCACTGTGCTCCTCCTATTTTTCTCAGTTTCAAAAGAAAAGGAAATAACAGGGTGCAGGAAAGAGGGTTACAACACACCTTAAAGTTCTGACATAACTGAGGAGAGAGCCACAAAGCATCTGGGAATGCATGTGCTCACATATGACAGAATTCTCTTTTACTCTCAAATACTTGTGTAGAGCTGATTTCAGAGTACAGGAATGCACTGGAGTCGTGAAATAATGATCCCTTCTCAGAGGGCTTAAAAACCTCAAGAAACATTACTGTCTTTCAACAGAGTTGTAGAAAATAATGAAAAATCACAGAGAAACTGTGATCAGAGGAAATAAGATGAGAAACCACCCAAGTGCACCATACATAGTCAGAAGGAAAACAGCTTATCCTGGGACTGCCACTATTATCAACAGAGAGAAGACACTGTCCTACAAGGTTAATTTGGTTAAAGAGAAATAAGAGCAACCATTAGCTGATAAAAGTGAGCCAGATTCCCTATGCAGAAGCGGGGAAAAGAAGACAAAGTGTGTGGGGAAAGTTCTGTGGCCAGAGCTAGTTATAATTAGTTGGTCTGCAAAAAGATCCAAGAAAAATGCCCTAATTTTAGATATGTTAGATATTGCACACTCAAAAAAGAAAAAAGAACATTTAGAAAACTATTTTAAATTTCTTTAATTGCTGAATGCCTCTTTGGCTAGTGTTTGGAGGATCATTTTTGAGTCCTACAACTTATGTATTTTTCCACCCTCTCATCGTTTTGTTTGCAAACCACCTAAGTCTTTTTTCCTCTGTTGAAAGTTGTTCTCTTTGACACATTACCAAAATGGACCCTATGCTGTAATCACACAGGACAATATTGGAAAGACTGAATATATAAATGATTTGTGAAAGGTATTACTTTTTCCCTTCTGTTTTGAGATTACTTCTAACAGTTTCTAAAGACATGGTCACAGCTGCCTGAAGCATGTCTTCTTCACTCATAGAATCACCTGTTGGGGATAAAACACATATTTCTTAGAAAGTTCTGGAAAATTTCCAAAGTCATCAAAAGGTAAGCTCTCAGAAACTGTTTACTTGATTACTATAGTTTCCTTTGTTGATTCTGAAAGCTTATAGACGGTAAAATCCACTCTTTGACAGTTCCTCAAGTTTTGACAAATACCAAGTGGTATAACCATCACCACCACTCAGATACAGACAGAACCATTCCATGCACCAAAAATATTCCCTTAAGTTGTCTTTGTAGTCAGTTCCCAATCCCTAGGTCTAGGCAACCACCGACATGTTTTCTGCCCTACAGTTCTGCCTTTTCCTGCCATGTCAACACAAATGAAATCATGAATTGTGTACGCAACCTTTGAATATGGCATCTTAAATAAAAGCATTATGCTAAGGGAAAGAAAATTTAACTGTGTCTGTCAATGATACATATGTTACTGAAAAGTTCGTTTTGAGAAATAATTATTTATGCACAGGAAGGTGCAAAGATAGTTGAAAGAGGTCCTGTGTACACTGGCTAAATGCCACCTAATAATTAAGTCTTACGTAACTACAGCTCAAACCTAAATCTGAATACTGACACTGGTATTTACAATGTTGTGCATAGTTCTATGGTCTTTTGTTGTATGTGAAGATCTGTATAACCACCACCATCACCACAATCCAGACTGAGAACTGTTGTGGTACCACCAAAATCTCCCTCCTGCCATCCCTTTTTATCCGCACACACTTCTCTTCCCTGCCCCCACTACATCCCTTAACTGCAGGCAACTGCTAATTTGTTTTCCAACTCTGTCAATTTGTCATTTTTAGAATGCTACACACTTAGAATCCTACAGTATGAGATTTTGAGATTTATTTTTTTGTACTCAGCATAATGCCCTTGAGATGCATCTAAGCTGCTGCATGTATCCACAACTGGTTTCTTTTTCTTAAAAACTTAAAAAAAATTTTTAAAAATTCTTTTGGCCCCACCACATGCCATGCAGGATCTCAGTTCCCTGACCAATGATCTAACCTGTGCCCTCAGGAGTGGAAGCACAGAAGTCTTAACCACTGAACCAGCAGGGAAGTTCCTGGTTTCTTTCTAATACTGAGACGTATCCATGGGGTGGATGTACCGCAGTTGGTTTAACCATTCACCTACTGTAGGTCACTTGGTTTTTTCCAGTTTTTATCATGACAAAGATGCTATGAACATTGAAGTACAGGTTTTTGCATGGATAGAAGTTTTAATTTCTCTAGGATTAAATGGGAATATAACTGATGGCTGTATTGTCACTGGATGTTCAGGTTTTACAGAAATTAAATTACCAAATAAATTACCTAATTATTTTCCAGAGTGGCTGCACCAGTTCAAATGAAAGTTAAAAATTTTACCTCCCTTTACTTTCCACTGATTATAATTGCCTTAAGTATTTCCTATATTTTACAGTAAAAACAAAATCTGTTATAATTCTTCCTGCAATCATCAAATATAATTTAGAAAACTGAGAAGGAGAGGCAAGTCTATTGTGTTTACACATATTTTTATTCCTCCTACTGTTCTTTTTAAGTATTTATTTATTTGGCTATGCTTTTAGTTGCAGCATGCAGGATCTTTTTTTTTTTTTTTAGTGGCACAGGGGATATCTTTTACTTGCGGCATGGAAACTCTTAGTTGTGGCATGTGGGATCCAGTTCCCCATTGTTCTTCAGACATTCAGTTGTGTCCGATTCTGCCACCCCATGGACTTCAGCACACCAGGCTTCCCTGTCCTTCACCATCTCCTGGAGTCCAGTCAAACTCATGCCCAGTGAGTCAGGGAGGCCATCCAACCATCTCATTCTCTGTTATCCTCTATTCTTTCTGCCTTCAATCTTTCTCAGCACCATGATCTTCTCCAGTGAGTCAGCTCTTCGCTATTGGAGCTTCAGCATCGATCCTTCCAAAGCATATTCACGGTTGATTTTCCTTTAGGATTGACTGGTTTGATCTCCTTGTTGTGCAAGGGACTCTCAAGAGTCTTCTCCAACATCACAGTTTGAAGGCATCAATTCTTCGGTGCTCAGCCTTTTTTATTGTCCTGTTTTCACATCTGTACATGACTACTGGAAAAATCACAGCTTTGACTATATGGACCTTTGTAAGCAAAGTAATATCTTTACTTTTTAATACACTGTCTAGGGTTTTTTAAAATTATTATTTTAGTTGGAGGATAATTACTTTACAATATTGTGGTGGTTTTTGCCATACATCGACATGAATCAGGGATGGGTGTACATGTGTTCCCTCATCCTGAACCCTCCTCTGAACTCCCTCCCCCTCCCATCCCTCTGGGTTGTCCCAGAGCACCAGTTTTGAGTGCCCTGCTTCATGCATCGAACTTGCACTGGTCATCTATTTTTACCTATGGTAATATACATGCTTCACTGCTGTTCTCTCAAAATCACCCCACTCTCACCTTCTCCCACATAGTCCAAAAGTCTGTTCTTTACACGTGTATCTTTCACTGGCTTGTATAAAGGACTGTCATTACTGTCTTTCTAAATTCCATATATATGCATTAATATGATGTACTGGTGTTTCTTTTTCTGACTTACTTCACTCTGTATAATAGGCTCCAGTTTCATCCACCTCATTAGAACTGACTCAAATGCATTCTTTTTTTATAGCTGAGTAATATCCCATTGTGTATATGTACCTCAACTTTCTTATCCATTCATCTGCCAGTGGACATCTAGGTTGCTTCCATGTTCTAGCTATTGTAAACAGTGCTGCAATGAACACTGGGGTTTATGTGTCTCTTTCAATTCTGGTTTCCTCATTGTGTATGCCTAGCAGTGCAGCGGGATTGCTGGGTCATATGGCAGTTCTATTTCCAGTTTTTTAAGGAATATCCATACTGTTCTCCATAGTAGGTGTACCAGTTTGCATTCCCACCAACAGTGTAAAAGGGTTCCCTTTTCTCCACAACCTCCTCAGCATTTATTGTTTGTAGACTTTTTAATGGCAGCCATTCTGATTGGCATGAGATGGTACATTGTGGTTTTGATTTGCATTTCTCTGATGAGTGATGTTGAGCATCTTTTCATGTGTATTTTAGCCCTCTGTATGTCTTCTTTGGAGAAATGTCTGTTTAGTTCTTTGGCCCACTTTTTGATTGGGTTGTTTATTTTTCTGGTATTGAGCTGCATGAGCTGCTTGTATATTTTTGAGATTAATTCTTTGTCAGTTGTTTTGTTTGCTATTATTTTGTCCCATTCTGAAGGCCCCCTTTTCACCTTGCTTATAGTTTCCTTAGTTGTGGACAAGTTTTAAGTTTAATTAGGTCCCATTTGTTTATTTTTGTTTTTATGTCCATTCCTATGGAAGGTGGGTCATAGAGGATCTTGCTGTGATTTAAAGATCACAGAGTATTCTGTGTCAGATAGTGTTCTGCCTATGTTTCCCTATAAGAGTTTTATAGTTTCTGGTCTTACATTTAGATCTTTAATCCATTTAGAGTTTATTTTTGTGTATGGTGTTAGAAAGTTATTCTTTCACAGGTGGTTGACCAGTTTTCCCAGCACCACTTGTTAAAGAAACTGTCTTTTCTCCATTGTATATTTTTGCCTCCTTCATCAAAGATAAGGTGTCCAAAGGTGCATGGATTGATCTCTGGGCTTTCTATTTTGTTCCATTGATCTATATTTCTGTCTTTGTGCCAGTACCATACTGTCTTGATGACTGTAGTTTTGTAGTATAGTCTGAAGTCAGGCAGGTTGATTCCTCCAGTTCCACTCTTCTTTCTCTGCTTTGGCTATTTGAGGTTTTTTTGTATTTCCATACAAATTGTGAAATTATTTGTTCTAGTTCTGTGAAAAATACCATTGGTAGCTTGACAGGAATTACACTGAATCTATAGCTTGCTTTGGGTAGTATGTTCATTTTCACTATACAGATTCTTTCAATCCATGAACATGGTATATTTCTCCATCTATTTGTGTTTTTTATTTCTTTCATCACTGTTTTATAGTTTTCTATATAAAGGTCTTTTGTTTCTTTAGTAGTAGTAGTGGTGAAGTCGCTCAGTCGTGTCTGACTCTTTGCGACCCCATGAACTGTAGTCCACCAGGCTCCTCCACCCATGGGATTCTCCAGGCAAGAGTACTGGAGTGGGTTGCCATTTCCTTCTCCAGGGGGAATCTTCCCAACCCAGTGATCAAACCCAGGTCTTCCGCATTGTAGGCAGACACTAATTTATTCCTAGGTATTTTATTCTTTCCATTGTAATGGTGAATGGGATTGTTTCCTTAATTTCTTTGTTTTTTCATTGTTAGTGTATAGGAATGCAAGGGATTTCTGTTTGTTAATTTTATATCCTGCAACTTTACTATATTCATTGATTAGCTCTAGTAATTTTCTGTTGGTATTTTTAGCTATCTTTAGGGTTGATATCTTTAGGATTTTCTATATAGCGTATCATGTCATCTGCAAACAGCAAGAGTTTTACTTCTTCTTTTCCAATCTGGATTCCTTTTATTTCTTTTCCTTCTCTGAATGCTGTGGCTAGGACTTCCAAAATTATGTTGAATAGTAGTGGTGAGAGTGAGCACCCTTTTCTTATTCCTCATTTTCAGAGGAAATGCTTTCAGTTTTTTTACTATTGAAGATAATGTTTGCTGTGAGTTTGTCATATATGGCTTTTATCATGCTAAGTTATGTTCCTTCTATGTCTGCTTTCTGGAGTTTTTAGCATAAATGGGTATTGAATTTTGTCAAAGACTTTCTGTGCATCTATTGAGATAATCATATGGTTCTTATCTTTCAATTTGTTACTATGGTGTATCACATTGATTTGCGAATATTGAAGAATCCTTGCATCATTGGGATAAAGCCTATTTGATCATGATGTAGTCTTTTTAATATGTTGTTGGATTCTGTTTGCTAGAATTTTGTTGAGGATTTTTGCATCTGTTCATCAGTGATATACGCCTGTAGTTTTCTTTTTTGTGGCATTTTTGTTTG